AATGCCCTTTCAGCCCCTGCTCATGGGGTTCCCATCCCCATTTGGGGCTGCTCCGTGTTCCCAACTATCTCCTATTCCCGCTCTTTGGAATGTCGTCGTCCGTGTCATGTCGTCGTCCCGTTGTCCCCCCCATCTGTCCCCCCCTCAGGTCCTGCTGCACTCGCTGGTGCGTGATTCCTACGGGCGCAAGATGAGCAAATCCCTTGGGAATGTCATCGACCCCCGGGATGTCATCGCTGGCGCCTCGCTGCAGGTACGAGGCTCTGTAATAACACATGGGAAAGCCTATAATAACACACGGGAGACCCTATAATAACACATGGAAGACCCTATAATAGCACATGGTAGCCCCTATAATAACACATATATATGTGGGTTGTACATATAAAAGACGCTACGATAACAAACAGGATTAATGGGGCTGGTGTTTACTGCAGGGTCTCCCAATGTGGTTTGTGTTTACTGCAGGGTCTCCCAATGTGGTTTGTGTTTACTGCAGGGTCTCCCAATGTGGTTTGTGTTTACTGCAGGGTCTCCCAATGTGGTTTGTGTTTACTGCAGGGTCTCCCAATGTGGTTTGTGTTTACTGCATGGTCTCCCAATGGGGTTTGTGTTTACTGCAGGGTCTCCCAATGTGGTTTGTGTTTACTGCATGGTCTCCCAATGTGGTTTGTGTTTACTGCAGGGTCTCCCAATGTGGTTTGTGTTTACTGCAGGGTCTCCCAATGTGGTTTGTGTTTACTGCAGGGTCTCCCAATGTGGTTTGTGTTTACTGCAGGGTCTCCCAATGTGGTTTGTGTTTACTGCAGGGTCTCCCAATGTGGTTTGTGTTTACTGTAGGGTCTCCCAATGGGGCTGGTGTTTACTGCAGGGTCTCCCAATGAGGTTGGTGTTTACTGCAGGGTCTCTCCTATTGCAGGAGCTGCAGCAGAGGCTCCACACCAAGGTCCTGGACCCCCACGAGCTCCGAGTGGCAACAGAGGGGCAGGTGGGCCCTTTCCTGCCCCATAGCCCCCACTTTACCCCTCCAACCCCTCCCTTTGACCCCCCATATCCCCCCCTATAACCCCTCCTTTTCCTGACCCCCCCTTCCCCATTGCAGCGGCTCCAGTTCCCCCAGGGCATCCCCGAGTGCGGCGCTGATGCCCTGCGAATGTTCCTGTGTTCCCACAACGTGCACGGTGAGAGCCGGAGGGGGGGGCACCAGGACCCTGCATGTCCCTGGTCCCCATTGAGTGTCCCCCATCCCTGGTCCCCATTGAGCGTCCCTGTCCTGTCCCCCCCTCCCCCCATAGGGGACAGCATCCGGGTGGCCGCAGGGACAGCCCTGACCCACAGGCGCTTCTGCAATAAGGTCTGGCATGGGGTCAGGTTCGTGCTGCAGGCACTGGGGCCCCACTGTGACCCACAGCGCCCTGAGGAGGTACCGGGGGGGGGGGGGGGGGGCACAAGGGGGGTTTGGGGGGGTCAAAAGAGGACTTTGGGGGTGGAAGAGGGGTTTGGGTGGGTAAAGAGGGGGTATGGGCGGTCAAATGGGAGGGTGGAGGGGACAATGAGGGGGCGTAAAGGGGGGTTTGGGGGGTGAAGGGGGGATCTGAGGGGTTTAGGGGTTAAACAGGGAGTTTGGGGAGGTGTAAAAGGAGGGGTTTGGGGTTAAAAGGGGGTTTTTGGGGGTGCAAGGAGAGCGGGCCCCCAGGCATCACCCTTTGCCTCCCCTTCCACATCCCTCTCTCCATTGCCCCAGTGCTGCCCCCGTGTGGCCATGGGGCGCTGGGTGCTGGGGCGGCTGCTGCAGGCAGTGGGAGCCTGCGCCCGGCACATGGAGGCGCTGGAGCCGCACGGAGCCCTTGGGGCCATCCAGCACTTCTGGACACGGAGCTTCTGCGACGTCTTCCTGGTGCGTGTGGGTCCTGGACCTGCCATTGAAGGCGTTGAACCCATTGATGGGTCCATCCTACCCCTGCCATTGATGGTGTTGAACCCATCGATGGGTCCATCCTACCCCTGCCATTGATGGTGTTGAACCCATCGATGGGTCCATCCTACCCCTGACATTGATGGCATTGAACCCATTGATGGGTCCGTCCTGCCCCTGCCATTGATGGCATCGAACCCATTGATGGGTCCATCCTACCCCTGCCATTGATGGTGTTGAACCCATCGATGGGTCCACCCTACCCCTGCCATTGATGGCATTGAACCCATCGATGGGTCCATCCTACCCCTGACATTGATGGCATTGAACCCATTGATGGGTCCATCATACCCCTGCCATTGATGGCATTGAACCCACTGATGCCTCCTTCTCCCCATAGGAGGCCTCCAAGGGGCTGCTGCAGGACCCGGTGACGGCACCGGACACGCGCCGGACCCTGCTCTGCTGCGTGGATGTGGGGCTGCGGCTCCTGGCCCCCTTCGCCCCCTTCCTGAGCGAGGAGCTGTGGCAGCGGCTTCCCCGCGCCCCCCCGGTGGCCCCCAGCATCACCCTTGCCCCCTTCCCCGACGCCTCCAGCCTGGTGAGTGCCATTGAGACCCCTATTGATGCCCCATTGATCTCTCATTAACGCCCTATAGGCACCCCATTGACATCTCATTGGTGCCCCACTGACGTCTCATTAGTATGCTACAGACACCCCATTGACACCTCAATGACGCCCCTTTGACGCCTCTATATCTCCCCATTGATGACATCCTGTTGATGCCACATTGACATCTCATTAACGCCCTATTGACATCCCACTCATGCCCCATTGACGTCTCATTAACACCCCATTGACATCCCATTAACACCTCGTTGATGCCCCATTGACACCTCAACAAGGCCCCATTGATACCCTAATGCCATCTTGTTGGTGCCCCATTGACGTGCCATTGGCGCCTCATTAACACCCCCTTAGACACCTCATTGACAGCCCCCATTGATGCCCCATTAACACCTCATTGACAACCCCATTGATGCCCCATTGACATCCCATCGACGACCTATTGACACCTCATTAACGCCGTATTGACCCCATTAACACCCCAGTGATGCTGTAGTGACACCTCATTGACATCCCATTGAAGCCCCATTGACCCCATTGTTTGTGTCCCCCCAGGCCCACTGGCACTGCCCCACTGTGGAGCGGGAGGTGGGGGCCATGCTGGAGGTGGTGCGGGCGGTGCGGGCGCTGAGGGGCACCTTCCGCCTCGGGGCGGCCCGGCCCCCCGGTGAGTACTACATGTCCCAGCATGCCCTGGGGCAGCCAATATGGCTGACATGCAAAGGGGACTACAAGTCCCAGCATGCCCTGGGGCCTCCAATATGGCTGACAGACATAGGGGACTACAAGTCCCAGCGTGCCCTGGGGCATTATGGCTGACAGCTCTCCAGCATGCACTTGGCTGCCCCTATGCCCCAAGATGGCAGCCCCCACTGGAGGCTGCCACAGCCCAGCAGTCCCAGCATGCTCTGGGGCACACGGAGGCGGCCATGTTTCCCTCACACCCTCACTGGAGGCAGCCATGTTGGGTGGGCTGAGGGGCAACGCCGCTATCCCAGCATGCTTTGCGCAGTGGCGGTCCAGTGCCCGGCGGAGACACGCGATTGGCTGGAGCCGCTGGGCCCCACTCTCCGGATGCTGGCACAGGCGGGGCCGCTGAAGCTCCTCCCCCTGGGGGCGGAGCCAGAGCCGGGCCCGGGCTGGGTGAAGGCGCCTGCAGGCCCTGACACCCACGTGCTCCTCTGCCTGCAGGTGAGTGTGCCCCGGGGCATTGTGGGATATGGGAGGACTCCACGGGCATTGTGGGATACCGGGGGTCCTTGGGGGGGGGGTGTCCCAGGGCACTGTGGGACACTGGAGGACCCCCCCCTACCCCTTCCAGGGGCTGGTGGAGCCGGCGGCCGCCCGGAGCCAGCTCCGCAGCCGCAGCCTCGGACTCCAACGGCGCCTCCAGAGCCTGGGGGGGGCCCCGGAGCCCAGCGCCCAGCACCAGGTATGGCCCCATTGAGCCCCATTGAACCCCATTGACCCCCATTGTATCCCACTGCACCCCATTGAACTCCATTGACCCTCATTGAATACCATTGAACCCTATTGACCCCCATGGAACCCTACTGACTCCCATTGAATCTCATTGAACCCCATGGACTCCCATTGAACCCCATTGACCCCCATTGAACCCCATTGGCCCCCATTGTACACCCACTGACCACTATTGTACCCCATTGACCCCCATTTTACCCCACTGCTCCCCACTGACCCCACTGTACCCCCATTGAACCCATTGACCCCCATTGTACACCCATTGATCCCCATTGTACTCCGTTGACCCCCACTGTGCCCCTATTGTATCCCATTGACCCCCATTGCACCCTATTGACCCCCATTGTACCCCATTGTGCTCCATTGACCCCCACTGTACCCCCATTGTATCCCATTCTTCCCCATTGTGCTGCATTGCACCCCGTTATGCCCCCCTTGTATCCCATTGCTCCTCATTGTACCCCCATTACACCCCATTGCCCTCCATTCTACCCCTATTGCCCCCCATTTCACCCACCTGTACTCCCACTGCCCCCCATTGCATCCCATTGTATCCCCATTGCCTCTTATTGACTCCCATTGCCACCCATTACCCCCCAGTGCATCCCATTGCCCCCCATAACCCTGCAGGGCCGGGGGGGAGGCGCACATTAACCTCATTAACGGGGGGAGGGCTCATTAACGCTGCCGTCATTAACGTGGCCCCCCCCCCCCCCCCCCCCAGGTCGCCATTCTCCGCTCCGAGCTCGCCCGCCTCCAACAAGCACTGGAGGCCCTGGAGCCCTTGGACCCCCCCTCAGACCCCCCATTGGACCCCCCCTTGCACCCCAAAACCCAATAAACCCCCCCCAAACGCCCCCTTTAATCTCTCTTTGGCCTCATTCTTCTCCCCCCCGGGACCCATCACGAGAGTCCCAGGCTCAGCCCACATTTTGGGGGGGGGGGGGGGCCAGGCTCCTCCTTCCCCCCCCCCCCCCCATTCCATTGGGATCCAGGAGCTGCCGCTGCCGTGTGGGGACATCGGGGACAGCGACGCCTGCTCCTGCCTCAGGTATCGGATCCCCCCCCTCTGTGGTCCCTGTTTGGGCTCCCCCATTTCCCCCCCCTTTATCCCCCTGTCTCCCCCCCATGTCCTTGGTGTCACCCCAGTGACATCCCCGTCACCTCTGGTTTCCCTCCCCCCCCCCAGGTTATGGCTGAGGGGTGCCCCAGCGCTGCCCCCCCTTGTCCCCTCCCCACGGAGGTGACGGCCACCCCCATGGATGTCCCTATGGATGTCCCCATTGTCACCGTCACCCCCTGGACCAGCGGCATCACCATCACTGTCACCGCGGCACCACCGGATGAGGATGATTGGGACAATGGGGACATCGGGGACAATGAGAACGTGGTGACCCCACAGAACACTGGGGACAATGGGGACGTGGTGACCCCAAAGGACATTCGGGACATTGGGGATGGGGTGACCCCAAAGGACATTGGGGACAATGAGGACGTGGTGACCCCAAAGGACGTTGGGGACAATGGGGACGTGGTAACTCCAAAGGACGTTGGGGACAATGGGGATGTGGTGACCCTAAAGGACACTGGGGGCAATGAGGATGTGGTGACCCCAAAGGACATTGGGGACACTGGGGATGTGGTGACCCCAAAGGGAATTGGGGACAATGGGGATGTGGTGACCCCAAAGGGTATTGGGGACAATGGGGATGGGGTGACCCCAAAGGACGTTGGGGACAATGAGGATGGGGTGACCCCAAAGGACATTGGGAACATTGGGGATGGGGTGACCCCAGAGGGTATTGGGGACAATGGAGATGTGGTGACCCCAGAGAACATTGGGGACAATGGGGATGTGGTGTCCCCAAAGGACGCTGGGGACAATGGGGATGTGGTGACCCCAAAAGACACTGGGGACAATGGGGATGTGGTGGCCCCAAAGGATATTGGGGACAATGAGGATGTGGTGACCCCAAAGGACACTGGGGACAGGGATGGTCTGGACCTTATGGACAAGGACACTGGGGACAATGGGGATGTGGTGGCCCCAAAGGACACTGGGGACAATGGAGATGTGATGGCCCCAAAGGACATTGGGGACGTTGGGGACAATGGAGATGTGATGGCCCCAAAGGACATTGAGGACAACGGGGACATTTGGGATAATGGGGACATGGTGACC